CGCTGCTGCCAGGTCATCCGGCTTCTGCCCCTCCGTGTCTGCTGTAGCCCAGCAGGAACCTGCGGTGACTGAGCAGGGCTTGGGTCGGAACTATCTGTACCTGCTAAATATTGAAAAACAGTTTTGAAAACTCATTTCTCCAACTTAGAGGACACGCTGGCCGTCTAGCCCGTTGGAAATACTGTTTTGGGGTCCATAGTGGCCATAGGCCGGGCACGGCTGTCTGAATGCATCTCCTCATTCTGCTGCCATAGCTGAGCAGGGAGCACTATGTGTAAAAGAAACAAGTGGCAGGCCAAGAGGGAATGGCCTCAAGCTGCCCAGGGCAGGGTCAGGCTGGCTCTGAGGAAGGATTTCGTTGCAGAAGGGGCTGTTGGGCGTTGGAATGGGCTACCCAGGGCAGGGGGGGAGTCCCCATCCCTGGAGGGGTTGAACAGTCGGGCTGACCCAGCGCTGAGGGATCTGATGGAGTTGGGAATGGTCAGGGTGAGGTTCATGGTTGGACTAGAGGAGCTTCAAGGGCTTTTCCAACCTTGATGATTCTGTGACTCTGAAACCCTGTCTCAAGTTGTTTAATAATAGAAAAGGTGAATCTTCCCTGTATCGTAACAGCTTCTTGTTGGCTGTATCGGGAGCACCGGGGAATGTGCTGTGCTTGAGCTGTGAAGACTCAGAGAAGAGCTGGTGTGGGAGGAGCTGAGTCTGTTACAAGCTGCATTTGCTCATCATCGTTCTCTTTATCCACCCAGGTGCTGCAGTACCGGACTCGGTGTCAAGAGCTGGAGCAGCAGCTGGAAGCAGAAGGGGTGAGTGTGGAGGTTACTAACTAAAGATAGTGCACATAGCATTTGTTAACACAGACAAAAAGTTCCTGAAAACAATGATGGAGGAAACCAAGATTTTGCTACCCAGGGATTTAAAGAGGCACTGTACACTTGTCCATCCCTGTTTTGTCCAGTTACCATTCTTAGAGCAGCCAGTAGTCCCAGAAATGCCAGTCCAAAAACCAATTGAAGAAGGATTTTAATTTTGTGGAAGAGTGCTTTGTTGCTGGAGTGACATTTGTCCTAGGTCTCAGGAGAGAGCTGTACTGCCTGTTACATTATATGGCTGTCTCTGAAAGAGACAACTGAAACATAGCATTTTAGACATTATATGGCTGTCTCTGAAAGAGACAACTGAAACATAGCATTTTAGAAGGCAAGAATGGTGGCGTTCAACACACAGAGCCTGACCTCTGCTTTTCTTTCTGCCTGACAGCTAAAGTAAACCTAGGAAACAAAGGAGAGTATTCCCAGGCTTCAAGTCTAAGTGAGCACTCATCATCATCAGCTAAGGATACCCAGCTGTGAGAGTGTGAAAGTGGGAGACTGAGGAGAGCCACTCCCACTGAGTAACACCCTTCCCCTCCATGGTCACGACACTGTTATGCTTGTAAGAAGCCACAAGCTCCTGAGATACCAAAGAAATGGAGGGGAAGGTGATGGATGCTGACAGTAGTGAAGGGAACACAATAATTTGACAAAACATTTCCTTTCTTCTTAAGGGATCCCTTCTGAGCAGGTGGGAAGCCACAGAAGACCACAGCCTGGAGAAAGCACTGCTTCAGTTGGAAGAGGAGCAGCAAAGGTAAAGGGAAGAAGTGTCACCTTACATTTGGTATCCTTGATGCTTATGGAGTGAGGGAAAACCTGTCAGTGCTACCTAGTCTCCTTGAGAGAAGTGGTTGGGCAAGTTGTTTAGAAAGGAGAAAGGTCCACAGTCTGTGTGGTGCAGTAGTAGTGTTGCATGCTGAATGGTTCTGTTTTGAGCAGGGGGTTGTTCTGGGTGACCTCCAAAGGTCCCTTTTCAGCCTAAATTATTCTGTGGCTCAATAGGTGAGTGATTTAGGACAATGCTAGAGAAAGGTGATGCATCCAGTGATCAGACCGCACAAAGGGGAGATAAGAAGTTAACCGTGGGCATCATCAAACTTGCAGAGGAAACCAAAATTGTAGGTGGAAATTGAAGGCTCAAAGCAAGGAGAAGCAGATGAGTTTGCCATCACTGAGAGATCTTAGTTAATCCTAGAAGGCACTTTAACTGCCTCTCAGTTTGACAACAGCCAGCCTTGAGGGAGTTGGAAAGTCACGGGGGTGCTGCCTGTGGACAGCAGTTGTTCCGTGACCTCATTGCTCTTTCTCCCTTTCCAAGGTGTGAGCATCTGGCAGACGTGAACACTCTCCTGCGGGAGCACCTCGATAAAGCAAATGAGGTTAATTCAGCACTTAAAGAAGATGTTGGAAAACTGACGGCGGATTGGATAAGGGCCCGGGAGGAGCTGGAATTGAAGGAGAGTGAATGGCGCCATGAACGTGAGGTGGGGATAAGGCTGCGGGAGTGTCAGATGTGATGCCAGAGTGGAATGAGAATGCATTTTATTTCTGGCTGTGTGAAAGTTGTGGCTCCATTGAGGCTGTGTTGGTGCTGACTGCAGGAGGCAGGGGCATGAGGTGGAGGAGTGTCAGCAGACTGTGGGCACGTGAGATACCCCCCCTGCTGTGACCACACTGCTCGGTCTAAAAGGCAAATGCTTGCTGTTGCTGGACACTGTAGGGCAGTCTCACATGAGTGGTCATTGTTTCAACAGTTCCTAAATCTATCTACAGCAGTGCAGAGCAGAGAGGTCTATGTGTTTTCAGACTCAGAGTAGCCAACAGCAGAACAGGACAGGCCTCCCTTACCAGTAGCCTGCTGTAAGCAAATCTGACACTGGTCTTGGAGGGGCTTGTTTTTGTCGTCTTCTACCAAGATTGTTCGAAACCTCTGTGAAGCGAGATGATGAATCGTGGTCAGTTTGTTTTGCTGATACCCACTCCTGCAGGAGAAGTATGGATGTTTCTTTCTCTGAAGCCAGGTGGCAGGTCCACTGAGGATGCCTCTACAGTCCTTAATGCCCCTGGTGGAATTGTTATTAAAGGAGACCTGGTGATGATGGTTGTACTCTCTCATATCTGAAAGACTTGTACAGTGACAGCTGAGGCTGAATTGACATTTCTTGTTGTCTTTGCCTGTTTAGCTTTCTGATAACTACTTAAGGGGTGAACGTAACCGTCTCCTCAGCCTGTGGCGCCAGGTGGTAACCTTCCGCCGTCATTTCCTGGAAATGAAGACTGCCACTGACCGGTGAGTAGAAGTTCGGGCTGGACCTCTTGCAGAAAAAAATGTAGCTTCCCTTCACAGCTGCTTTTTGAGCCTTGATGTTACTTTAGTTGCAGCTAAAGATAAGATTTCGCCTTGGTAGGCTGAAGCAATGCCGTTAAGCATGCTTTTGGGTATTTTTGGAATAATTTTTGATGCTGGTTTTCAGAGCACACTGCGTGGCTCAGGGTGTAAGCAGTGCAGAGGCCCTGATCAGATGAACTGACTCTGTTGATGATTGGGTGTATTAACATAGACAGGGGTACATGTGGACATCTTGGAAGAGACTCACCAAAGCCATGCGTGCAGCACATAGAGTGATCCCTTTCACAGAGGGATTAAAATCTGCCTTAAATCTCACTGGCTTTCTTTTCCCACTGCTCCTGATGGAAAGGTCATTAATGAATATTTTTTTTTCCTTCTCATTTGCATCTTACATTTATTCTGGTCAGTTTGCATCTGTTTATTCCTGTACTAACATTGTTGAGAGAAAGAATAGCTTCTTGACCCTGTTATTGCATTTATCCAATGTATTTTGTTTAGTTTGATACCTTCTTATTGATTGTTTTTTTGTTCTTGGTCTCTCTGAGGTTCCCTTCTCACAGTTGCCTTCTATGCAAACAAAAGCAGTGTAGCCATAATAGTACATTCTTCTGCTGTCAGCATACAGTTTCAAACTCTGGGTTACTGTCAGCCATTTACCTTACTTGACTGTAAGCTTTCCTTAATGTGCCAGGTATGCCCTGACCTACTAGTTAATTCTTGAAGCCTTTTTTGGCTGTTCCATACATTTCTTCTTATCTCTGAGGGGAAAACAGCCTCACTCCTCAAACCATCAAATAGACCCATTGCTCAACTATCCAGATGTGTCCTGATCTCAAAGTGTCAGATGAATGATTTGTCCCCAGCAAAGACGTCATCTTTCCTGCCAGCTTTTACTGTTGCACCATTAACATGATTCAAAAGTGAGTCAGCTGATAAAGATGGTGGTGTGAATATGATTTCTTTCTTGATCCTTCTGCAGAGATTTGTCCGAGCTGAAGGCAGAGCAGTTGAGGCTTTCTGGATCTATACTTGTAAACTGCTCCCGCCTGAACTCTGGTGTGCAGCTCTGGGAGACCATCAGTCTGGGTAGACGTGTCCTAGAGGATCAGGCACAGCAGCAGGCAGAACAGGAAACAAGCCAGAAGACTTGGGAAGTGATGCACTTACAAGTCAATAGGGACCTGGAGAAAAAGGAGCTTCAGGACAGGTAAATATGTTTTAGCTTTGCTGTTATCAACACTACCTTTTGTGGTTGTTTTTTGGATTCATAGATGGGCTGTGTTCACGTTTAAAACACACCTGCTCTGCACAGCCTTGTTTCTGTCCCTAGTCAAGCTATGGCCTTCAGCAGAATGGATAGAAAAACACGCCTGACCAACAGAAGCTTTTGTAAGACAAGACTGGAAAAGAGATTGTGAATTACAATGTTTTTGCTGTTACTTGGTTCTTGGTGAGAAGTTGAGGCCAGCATAAAGAGAGCTGTGCCTCTTGTACAGCCCTTCTGCTACCCAGGGCTGTGCAAAGGAGTTGTGAGGAATTTGCCCAGGGCCATCTGTACCTCTCTACTGACAGTTCCTTGCAAGACTGAGTGCAGAAGTCTTTTGGGGCAAGAAGTGCCATTTTGCAACTTCAGGCATATTAACATGTAGAGATGAACACTGCCTTTGCTGTATTTTCTGGGCTGAACTGTCTCTGCTGTGCTGCTGGGAGCTGCTTAGCTCTCTAGCGGGTGCTGGTGTGTGATGCTTTTGGAATGGCCCGTGGACCTTCTCTTCTCAGGGTGACGGAGCTCTCAGCCTTGCTTGTACAGTCTCAGAAGCAGAACGAGGAGAAGGACAAGACCATGAAAACACTCAATGACACTGTGGAGATTCTAGTATGTTTTACCTTTATTTGGGAGATGGCCTTTATTTGTTTAAGATTAATTTGTTAAAGATTACCTTTATTTGTTCTCAAGCTTTAGCAGAGGGGTGTGGTTTCCTCAAGAGAAAGAGCAGTGAGGACCACGGTGTGGGAGCATCAGGCACATGTGAGTCAGCCCGGGTGCAGGCAGTGGCAGGGGAGCTGCAGATGCTTCCGGGGGTTGCAATGTGCTATTCTGCCTGTGACTAGATCTCCAGGGATCAAAGTTCCTTGAAACTGACAGCTTCATAGCAGCCTGTGAAAACTAGCTGTTGGTCTTTCTCTTCTTAGTTTTAGCAAAGAAGGAATTCAATAGATATGGGAAGGAATATACTGGAATCAGTAGGGCTGAGGCTTATCAGCACAGCGATGCTGCTGAGGCTGGGAATGCTGTAGAGGGGAGCAGCTCTTCCCCACCAACCCTTTGCTTATTCTATTCTCAGGAAGCAAGTCAGTTAGAGAAAGAATATGAAGCTTCATTGACTAAAAGTGTCAAAGAAGAGAATCTTTCCCTCCAAAAGCTGATAAAAGATATAACAGAGGTGAGTACAGAGTTGGGACCACATCCCTGTAATTTGATTTAAAAGTACTTGAGGAAGGCAAATGACTAGCCAAGGAAATAGATACCTATGTTTTATACTGTCTGTGTTAAGTACTACTGGCTGTTTAATTATTATACCACTTTTCCGACATACAACTTGTTGTTATAACTTCTGAGTTGGCTGTCCTGTGACACTTGAGCTAAGTCACTAGAAGTTTCAGTACCTTTGCCCTAAGGCCTCTGTTTGTGCTTTCTGAGTTGGCTACTTGACATTTGTATTCTATTGTTGCCTGGAGGCTTCTCCCACCCTCCCTGGGCAATGACTCTGTTATTTAGGTTTTTATAAAAGGTCACTGACTGAATCAATATACTTGCCAACACTGTTCCATCACTCTGCATTTACTGACCATTATTATCTTCCCAGAATTGCAACTGATCTAACTGTTTAGGGCTAACTTTAGCTTAGTCCTAAACCTCACTCTAGGGAGGGGGGTTTAATCATTAGATCTTTTACACAGCTTCTCACAAAGTCAATTCTTTCCCTTTAGGTAGTCATTTTTATCTTCTTGTGCTACTGCTCGGAATAATTATAGACATTAGCTTTTTCAATGCTGTTTTCCAGTATTCATCAGCTTCCTTCTTCCCTGGGTAGCATTAATATTTCCTTTCATTGCTATTTCCAGTGTTGATTTGGTGTTCCTCACGTCTGTGTCTCTAAGAAGCCGAAGGAGACTCAAATAATTCAAGAAACTGAGTGTTCAGGCTGTCTCCACCCACTTCACACTTGTTTTTTCTTGTTTGTAGTAGCTGTATTCAGAAACCCCTGGAGTACTTGTGACCACAGGGACAAAACTTCTTTGTTGTCTGAAGAAATGAGACAATTGAGTTTTTAATGACTCCAGGTTGAAGCGGGGGAAAATGGAGAAATAGACAAAATCAAGTAGAATGAGCAAAGAGTAACAGCTTGATGTGGGCTTTCAGGTGGTGTTAGATGAATGTGACAGCATGGTCAGCATTATCTGCACTGACAGCTCCCAGCAGGCAGAATCTAGCAACATCCTCTCCTGTCTGAGCTCCATTGATGCAGAGTGTGCCTTTGTATTGGTTCAGGAAGCACTGGCAAGGAGGAGAGGAGCAGCACAGGTGAGAATTTTTCCTTGCCTTCACCACTGGCCACAGGCTCAACTGCTGATGCCTTGCTTATCTTGAAACCTTTCCATTTACTTAGCCAGTTTCTTTCTAGCCATCCCACTCTTGGTACTATATCGCCTCACCAGTCTCACCAGCTCTGTGTTCTGCTGCTTTTCTCTCTTTGATATGCACCCCCTCATCACATCTTTTGCCTTCAGGTGAGCTGTCTTGCTGCTTGCTTCTCTCAAGCTATCAGGAGCCATCTTCCCTGCTCCTTATTGTTTGTTTGTGTTTTCCATGCCTATTCCTTGGAGGCCCTAAAAGAAGAGCTCTCTGCCAGGCAGGACTCCATCACTGTCCTGCTGCACCAGCACAGGCAGCAGGAAGAGAAGTGCAGGAAGCTGCAGCAAAGCCTTGAGCAACTGGAGCAGGAATGCCAGACAGCCAGCAGCCACCAGCAGCACCTGCAGTCGCTGGTAGAAGCACTCAGAAGGTGAGTGTCCCTTCCTCCTCCTGCATTCTGGAGGCAATCAGCTTCCAGTCCTGGGAGTTCAGAGTGTTATGGGCAAAGAACTCGCCTGCCCTCCCCATGTATGCCCCTGTTTGGCCGTTCAGCATCCTCCTGTCACTGCTTTTCCTGCTTTCCTCTGAATCCTAATGCTGTCTTGGAGACTCGGAGCGATACTGAAACAAGATGCTTCCCTCTAGACATGCTAGTTCTCTGAATTCTGTTCTTTGGGGGCTCTTTCCTAGCCATGGCTTCCCAGTGAATGAGGGCAAAAGCCTGCCTGCCTTCCTGTGTCCCTCTCCAGTGGCCTTGTGAGGGGAAGGGCAAGTTCTTCCTTACCGTGCTGCCCACAGCATCAGCCTGGAGTGACTGAAATGGGATCCGTGATGCTTCAGGCCTGTCCGTCCTTCTGACTGAGCCTTGTCTTTGCAGTGACTGTGCAAACGTCGAGAAAACCAGGGCAGAGCTACAGCAACAGCTTGAAGAGACGGAGCAAGAAGCCTCGCGTCTGCGTCAGAGTAACACTGAACTGCAGCTGAGGGAAGATGCAGCCCAGGGGGAGAGGGTGGAGCAGCAGCAGAGGATGGAGAGAGCACGTCGTGACCAGGAGCTCCTGTGAGCATTAAAGCTTCCTCTGGGCAGGGGTGGGCGTGCTGCCGGACAGTGGGAGGCCCCCCTCAAAGAATGGATTTTGTCTGCTCAGCATGTGTAGCACAGACTGGTGAAGGGAGCATGTGGGCAGGTCTGGCTCCCTGCTGACGCACAGCAGAGGTGCCTCCTTGTACTTTCTTTATGGCTCTTGAAAAGAATCATTCCAAAGCTGACCAGAGTAGACCTGATGACAGGCCTAAGGTGAAAGAAGGAGGTTCAGGCTGGCTTTGAGGAGAACAAAAAATGGAACCATGAAGGCAATCCTGCAGCAGAGGAGGTTGCTCAGAAAGGTTGTGCAGATTGCATCCCTGGGAACTTGGAAGGCCCAAGTGGGTCGAGCCTTGAGCAACCCGGACTGATCCCATAGCTGAGCCCAGGTGCTTTGAGCTGAAGATTGGGCTAGAGGCCTCCTGGGGTCCCTGCCAGCCTGAATCATCCTGTCATTGGAAATTCTTACAGATCTCCCCAAACAGGTTCGGGTTCTTTCATCATTTTGTTGCCATAAGCAAGAATAATTGAGAGAATGTTAATCTGGACTGTTGAAAGGACCTGAACTTTTTGGAAACCTGTGATGTCTGGAAGCTTATTTTACTTTCTCAATGATGAATGTTTCACCTGTGTCAATGACAAAGACTGATGTTAGTCAGGAAATTACAGTATTCTTTAGGTGTAAATAGAAAGCTGTTGCAAATCATTCAAACTGCCATATCTTGGAAATAGTATGTAATCTTGGTTTTGGAAATGAGAATGTTTTTAATGTAAAAACTTGTTTGTCTTTCCCCTCCTCATAGGCTGAAGGACTTAGCTGCACTCGAAGAAAAACATTCTTCATTACAAAGTGAGCTGATAATTGCAAGAGAGACACTGGAGGAATCACACCTTCAGAGAGATCTGCTGAAGCAAGAGAAAGACGAGCTTTCCATGGCGCTGGAGAAGGTATGGTCACCTTATTCCTAGGCAGCACTCCTGGGAGAGGGAATTGTGATAGCAGGACCAGCACAGGTGGCGTTTCTGTCAGTAGAAGACAGTGACAGTGGTGTTCTCCTGCTTGGAAAATGGTGATCAGACCACACAGACTCCTTGGTGTAGTTAGTCCTCATGTGCTTATTGGGAGCACTGGACTGGAGGTGTGTCAGAGGCACCAAAGGGGATCTGGAGTCGCTGCTTCAAGTCAGGGATTTTCTTGTCTTTGCTTTCATGTTGTTCTTTTGTCTCTTCAGGCAGAGCAGTCAGTAGCAGAGTTGAGAGGGGCTCAGAATAAGCTGAGTGCTGAAGTAGCTGATCTACACATAGCAGCAGCGAAGATGAGCAGTATCAATGAAGCTCTTGCACTGGATAAAGTGCAGCTGAACAAACTTGTGTTGCAGGTGAGCAGTTGCAAAAGATCTCGCCAAGTGTTGGTCTGCAGCTGCTGCTTCTTTTCAGACTTCTTGCCTTCAGACGTAAAACTGCCTGAATATGGAAATGTTCCTTTTTCTGACTAAGCCAAACCTTCTACATGGTAAATCTTACTGTATTTTCTTTATGCTTCTGTGACTGTAGCTGGAGCAAGAGAATGAAGTTCTGTCAGGTAGAGTGGAGGAGCTGGAGAGAGCAAAGATCTCTGACCAGGAGAAGCTGAACTCGTGTGAAAGAACGAATGAAGAGCTCAGTGAAGAGAAAGCCCACCTGGAGCAGCTGCTGAAGAAAATGGAGGAGCAACGGGAGGGGCTGCAGGTAGAGCTGAGGATGCTGGCAGAGGAGAAGGCAGAAACCCAAGAGCAGCTCAGTCAGGTGAGACCAAAAACCTGGTGCTTTCCGGGTGGGCTTTTGGGTGCTGGGCTCCGTGAAGCTCTGTCTGCTGGGTTCTGTGGTGGTTTTGTCAAGGAGAGACCTGGTAGTGCTGGAGGTCAGAAGCTTTTCTTTACTGCCTTTTGGAAATGTGTTGATGGCTGGCAGAGCTGTTCTGCAATTCTCTCAGTTGTCCTCTGCTTCTACAGATGACTTCAATCCACCTGTCTGTGGTGGCCTCTCTTTTGGCTTTTGATAAGCTGCAGAGAGATGATTTGTCTTGCCCATGAATCTGAGTGAGGCTGCTACTCTCCCATGTGGCAAAAGAAGCAAACCGTGTACCTCTTCACCCTTTTTCTGAGTCAAAAACCCCGGGGTTGCGTCTTTCTGTTTATGCTTTTTGTTGTGAAGTCTGCAACTTTCAAAACTCCGTTTGTTCGAGCCTAGAGAGCGGGACAAAGCTGCAAGTCAGTGTCTGCTGTCTTGTACTGCTGAGAATGGGAACGAGATCTTGAAATTGTTGAAAATATATTTTAAGACATACATGCAACTTCGTGGCTGGAAATTTGCCTGGGGGAAAAGGACCTGGGGGTGCTGGTCAGCAGCTGGCTGATGAGTCGGCAATGTGCCCAGGTGGCCCAGAAGTCCAGTGGCATCCTGGCTTGTGTCAGAACTAGTGTGGCCAGCAGGGACAGGGAAATGATATCCTTGGTGAGGCTGCACGTCAATTACTGTGTTCAGTTTTTGGCCCCTTACTACAGGAAATACATTGAGATGCTGGAGCGTGTCCAGAGAAGGGCAACGGAGCTGGTGCAGGGTCTGGAGCACAGGTCTGATGGGGAGTGGCTGGGGGAACTGGGGGGTTTTAGTCTGGAGAAGAGGAGGCTGAGGGGAGACCTCCTGGCCCTCTACAACTACCTGAGAAGTAACAAGTGACAGGATGAGAGGGAAAGGACTCAGGTTGCACCAAGGGACATTTAGATTGGATATTAGGAAAAATTTCTTCATGGAAAGGGTTGTCAAGCCTTGGAACAGGCTGCCTAGGGAAGTGGTTGAGTCACCATCCCTGGAGACATTTAAAAGCCATGTAGATATGGTGCTTAGGGATATGGCTTAGTGGTGGGATTGGCAGTGTTGGGTTAACAGTTGGACTTGATGATCTTAGAGGTCTTTTCCAACCTAAATGGCTCTATGATTCTGTGAGCTGTTAGAGCCTCTTTAGGCTTTGAGGAAGATGAGAAATAGGTGATCACACAAGACTCTTCACTCTGGACTAATTGATTTTGATAGCCTGGAAAAAGAGCTTGAGAGAATCATGTCACTGAAGATACCAGGGAGTTTGTCATCATTTAAATGTCAGTTTCATAATGTACAATCTTGGATTTTATGGGATAAATGAGAGAATTGTTTTTCTGATGGTCTGTTCTCTGTTAGGTAGTCAGTCTTGGAGTCCATGGTATGTTTGGCAAATATCCAGCAGAGGTGTTATATTGAAGAAAAAAGCTAAAGAATCGTGGTTAATCTCAAGTTTGAATACCAGCAAGGTATATTAGACAACTTCTTTGTGTAAAACAAGCAAAGAGTGTTGTTCACACGCACTACTGTACAAATAGAGTCTACCATCTCTTTGGTCACATCAGCCAGACTTTCATAAATCACTCCAAGGGCTGTCTCCCTGCCCAGCATCACCTCATTGCATCCAATGCACTTTGATCTTTTTCTTTTTTTTCCAGAAGGAGAAACTATGTGTATTTTCACTTTCTTCAGTGAGCAAAACTGCTTTAGCTCAAATTTTTCTGAAAATTTCCAGCACTGGGATAGATTCTGATAGAATTTTAGTTTGCAGGGTGGCAGCTCTGGAAGATGCCATATTTTTTCATGAAAACACGTAGTCTGGTGTGTTTATGTTTGTTGTGAAGGAGCTGTGTGGTCCCAGGCAGCCCAGTGTGACCTTACTCATCACTTTCAAGTTAACAATCCCAGTGCCTTTTGGCAGCCCAGGGTATTAGCATGGTATAGAGCAGATGCTCTTAAACTTTCAGCCCGCAGTACAGGAGCTCTTTCTCCTACAGCTGATGCAGAAGTGGCACTGGCAGACTCTGCACAGAACTCCAGAGAAAGGGCTCTAACTGTCTTTTGTCCTGCTTTCAGGTTTGCCGCCAGCAAGAGTCAGCTCACAGTGGTCTGGAGCAGCTGCGCCAGGAGTCCTCTCGCCAGGGGCATGCACTGGCCACGGTGTCCAAAGAGAAGGAGTTCCTGGTGCATGAGAAGGCTGCCCTAGAGGTGCGACTGGAAGCCGTGCAGCGGGACAGACAAGGCCTTTCAGAGCAGCTGGCAGAGGCCAGGTAAAGGCAGGGGGGAAACCCTAGGCAGGACATTATATCATGTCTGTAATTATAAAAGGTGGCAATCAGTACACGAGGATTTATTGCATCCTGTGTGCTTTTCAAATGTTTTCACCTTCCCTGGGCAGAAAATGAAAGAATCTTGAGCAAAATGAAAAAGAGTATACTATGATTTTAATGTTGTTTTCCTGACAGCTAAAACTAGCAAACATCTCCTGGGCCTTGGGCTCATGTTCATTCCCACTTGCACATTCCTGTGTGAAGTCCAAAGCAAGCCAGCTTGGCTCTGAACTGAGTATGTATTAAACCCTGCAGATGTTTACTGAAACTGAAGTTTCTCTCTGGTTTTGGTTTCTTGTTCTATGCATTTGAACATAGATCCTTCCTTATCAAGTAGTTGACTATCGATGGCTATTGCATACAGACATTGTGAGTAGGACACTGCCATCTAGGGTGAAGCCAGAGGCTCATGCTGCAAATTTTTCTGGTTATTCTGGGTATTCTGGTTGGAAGCTCACTCTTGTTACCTGTGGTGCAGAACCCACAGCTGGTTATACCAGCACCTGGGAAACCTCTTTTGAATCCTCACGTCTTTGAGGATTCTTGCTCATCACTGATGTCTGTGTCCTGTACTCCTTACCACATGCTGTTAGAGACAGATGTCTTGGAGAAGTTACACAGAGAAGGAACAAGATTCTGTCCTTCTGCCTTTCTAAGATCGTATGTGACAAGTTCTGCTTTTCAGAAAAAAAAATGGAGTTGTTTGTCCTCCTTGTAGGTGTTTTTTTAGAAGACTCCTGGACTTGCAGAGCTGTACAAATGATGGTTTAGACATTTTCTCATGTTTCTTGACTTTTACGCTTTATTACTCCAGGGTATGTCGTTAGGACGGCTGCTAAACACCCGTTTTGAGACTCTGTGTTTCTTGAGAGCTGCTGCTTCTTCTGAGCTCCAGCTTCTCTTATTTGATCCAGCTGAGTTATGTTTGGTCAATTATTGGGCTGTTACTAAACTATTAAATGTTCTGCTCCTCTGCTCCTTTTAAAAAAAAATTTTTTAAGGGATACATTCTTTTTTAAAAAAAGATATTAGTTATGAAAAACCTTTGAAAATAGATAAAAATTCAGCAACTATTCTTACCAGATGTGTTCTCAAGAGCCTTTTGTTGTCACAGTTTTGGACTCTTATCTTTTCTGTTCTGTTTTAGAGACTGACTTTTATTTATCCTAAAATGGAGCATATTTACTTTGGACTGCCAGAGATTGGCATAATCAGAAATATGTGCTTGTTCTCCTTCTTGAAGATACATCCTCCATTGTCCATCCAAGTAGTGAAATTCTACTGTTGTGGTTTTTATGGCAGCCCCGTACTAGTGAGGCAGTGCTGTGTGTTGAAGGAACCTGGCACACAGGCGCTGTGTTAGATCAGGGAGGTGACTTCAGCTCCTGGTTCCATAATCCAGTGTGTCATACGCAGCAGTTGGCTGAAATCTGTGGCTGTAAGAATTTGGCTCTGCAGTATTACAGCTTCCATTTTAAAGAGCAGCAGGTCATTTGAGCTACTGCCTACTTAGTTAGCAACACTTAGAGAAAAGTAGCAAGTTTTTCTCTTGAACTTTCAACAGTTGAAACTGAAGGCTGCCGTCTCTCAGGTGGTCCTTGTTCAGAGAAAAATCTAGTTCATATTTCTTACAAATGCTGCTCCAAGCGAGAGATCTTCTATATCATTTGATGTATTTCTTGAGTCCCTTTTAAGTACAAGGAGTCTGGAAAGTTACTTACCTATAGCTACACTGTGAACAGCAGTTGAAAAGTCACAAGTCATCCAGGGAAAGACTCTTATTCTGTCCCCCTGCAGAGCAACCTGGAAGCACTGATGAGCTGAGGGCTGTGAGCAGAGACCAGGCTTTTGCTTGTTGGCCCAGACTTTGTGGGCACAGCTACTTGTGTGTCAGCCAACAGAAATTTAAGATTTGGCCATTGATATCAAATTCGGCTGGGCTTTCTGTGTTATGCTAGGTCATGAGCAAAGCCTGGGCATTGCCCCGGAGGGGCCTGCATTGCTATTTTAAGTGGCAGAAACATGCTTTTCCATACTCAGGGGTAGGGATCTTGAATGACTTCTTACTGGAATAACTCTCAGTGGGCGTCAGGAGCAACAAACTCATTTCTCTCTGTATTCACAACTTACAGGTCAATGAAGGAGATGCTGGAATCCAGCCTGTTTGAAGCTCAGCAGCGCTTATCTCAGCTGGAGATCACCAGAAGTCAGCTTGAAATCCAACTTCACACCGTCACGCAGGCCAAGGAGGTGATACAAGGTGAGCGCCTCCTGTTTCTGGTGATCCCTTGCCTAAGGAAGATGGTATAAAAATAGCTCTGTGTCCACAGTGCTTCTGAGGAGTGAAGGGGATGGAGGCAAATATCTCCTACACTGACATTCAGATGGCTTAAGGTCAGTGAAGTCAGAACCATTGTTTAGACACTGAATCTTGCCATTTATCCTGTTTGCAGGGGAAGTGAAGTGCCTTCAGTGTGAGCTGGAAGCAGAGCGATCTCTAATAAGGCAGGAACGGGAAAACATGGCACAGCAGCTCTTGCAGACAGAGCAGCAGTATAACAGTTCCCTCAAACTGCAGCAAACTGATCATGAAGTGGAAATAAACAAACTCCTGCAAGACCTGGTAGGAAACAATATGCTTCTGAATTCTTCAAGCAAGCTCTGTGGGCTGGCTTTAGAAGAGTAATAGCCTGAGTGTGTGAAATGGCAGCAACCATCTGTCATAGGTCACACCTTGCTGGGCCAGGCAGCA